TTTCCTTTCCTTTCCTTTCCTTTCCTTTCCTTTCCTTTCCTTTCCTTTCCTTTCCTTTCCTTTCCTTTCCTTTCCTTTCCTTTCCTCTTTTCTTTTCTTTTTTTCTTTTCTTTTCCTTTTCTTTTCCTTTCTTTTCCTTTTCCATTTCCTTTTCCTTTTCTTTTATTTTTTCTTAATAAAATCCCATAGACTGGTGTCTATAGAGCAGGTGTTTGTTTATTGCAGCGCTGGAGGTGAGCGCTGAACTTCGCTTAGAATTGGCAGTATTTATACAGTGAGCATGGTGGAACATTACCATCGTCACTACACCCACACCATCCATGGGCACGGAAATCCACAATATCACAGTTCTGTAGTGCACATGTGGCATCCTCAATTCGGTGTCGTGGGAGTCTCCCTCTAATGAGATACCATCCTCTTCATCATGGGGTACTCTTCACCTTTGTCTTCAGGGCACGCACAGTTGTGATGTTCATGGTTTTTTCCAGTCCTCCAGATCTTCATATTTCATTTTTCAGCTGACTGTCCTGTGCCTCTGCCAAGTTCTCGTTAGTGCTCTCTACTGTTCTTTGTTATAGCATCTACCTGTCCACTTCTACAGAACTTTTTAAATTTATGCTTCTGCTTTGTCCAGGCATTAATCCAGCTGGCTGGATTACATCAAGCTGGTACACTGTATGTCGCTAATACCCTATATCAAAACTTATAACAATATATGAGAAGGTTATTATTGATAATATATTGAAAGTTATTGTATTGTGTATTGATAATATGTAAAATGTTATTATATTATATATTGATAMTATGTAAAAGAGGTTATATAAAGTTTTCAATCAATAGGTCTCATAAGCGTCTTGTAACTTTGACTTAAACCACAAGTATCAGGAGCCTGTTCCAGTGCTCAACCACCCCATGCAGAAAAACCCTTTTCCTGATGTTAGTAAAATTAATTCACAGACACCACAGGTTTATGTCCAAAAAGGAGATAGAGGAGTCCTGTAATTTTATTTCAATAAAGGGAAATGGCATGGGACATTTCCACGGGGTCTCTCAAATTGTTAGAGGACGCAGCCTCCTTTTTATCCTGATTTCCCGGCCGCATTTTCCCCTCTCCTTCCCCATCGGCTGAGGTACTTGAGAGGTACAGAATCACCTAATACAGAACAACATCGAATGTGCACTTTGCCCCCCTCCCCCTTTTTTTTCTTTGTAACATTGTTCTTTTTCTCTAAGTACAGTGATTTGACACGGCACCATGTATGGGGGAGTCCTGAGAGGTTTCCCCCTAAGCGCCGGTGCGTTCTGATCGCTGCGCTGAGCTGAACTCTGAACCTGGGGAAGTCTGGCCTGCCTTCCGCAGAGATGAACACAAACCTGGGGCTGTGATCGCCGGCTCCGGAGCTCTGGTGTTCGGTGTGCCTGGTGGAATCAGCCGGGCTCTGGAGGCAGCGTCCGCCGAGAGTGTTGTTAAAGAGGCTGAGCCGCTCCCTCTCCCCGCCCCTCACGTTGGTCTGACCCTCCTCCTCCGCCCGCCCCTCACGTTGGTTTGACCCTCCCCCCCCGCCCCTCCCGTTGCTATGACAACGGCGCGCGCGACTCTTGGCGCGAGCGCGCCGGGGCGGGGCCGCGTGGGGCGCCCTTGCGGGGGTCGGGCGGAGACCCCGGAGCGCTGTGGGGAGCGCCGGCGGCAGTGGCGCCCTCAGATCCGGGAAAGAGAGCGGTACGGGTGGAGTTCAGCGTGAAGAGTCCTGGGGAGGATACTGAGCTGCTTTGAAAGCTGGAGCTCCTGGGACGAGCTGGGAGAAGTGACCTTTCCTCCTCTCCAAGGAGACCTTTGAGCCCCTTCCAGTGCCTTGCTACAAGAGAGCTGGAGAGGGACTTTGGAAAAGGGCGTTGTGTGGCAGGATGAGGGATAATGGCTTCGAATTTCTACAGGTTATGGATGGAGGGACAGGACACAGAGGCTGGCTTCCCAGCGGCAGAGGGCAGGGTTAGAAGGGACATTGGAAAGGAATTCTTGCCCGTGAGGGTGCTGAGGCCTTGGCACAGGGTGCTCCGAGAGGCTCTGGCTGCCCCATACTGGAAGCGTTCAAGGCCAGGTTGTGGAGCAGCCTGGTTTAGTGGAAGGTGTCCCTGCGCATTGCAGGGGGTTGGAAAAAAATGGTCTGTCTGTAAGGTCCCTTCCTACCCAAACCATTCTGGGATTATATGATTCAATGAAGGCTCTTTTCCAACTGAAACATTGTATCTCCTCTCGGCTCCCAGTTTGTAGTTGCCTTTTCTTCTGGAAGCAGGCCTGGCAGTCAGCTGCCATGAGCCATATGTTCTCAATAGGGTGTGTGTGACATGATTGCAGAGGAAGGCTGTAATGAGATCTTCAAGGCCAAGGTAAAAAAAGGATTGAGAAAAAGACAGGAGTTGGTTGTGTTGGTCGGTTTGCTGGCTGTTGAAGTGACCTCAGGTWATTTTTAACATTTCTGGTTTTGGTTTGTTTTAGTAGAAAGTGATTGAGTTATTTCCAACATATGCTCTCTAGTCCATCTRTATGTGTTTTCATCTGTTTGTTGTATATCAGGTTATATTAACTAAAGGCAGTAACAGCAGTAAAATATTTARAGGCATATTTAGCCAGATTCAGGCATTTCTCACTCTGCTGTTGACTTTTMTGGTAATTGTAAGCAAGGCAACACAATCCAGTTTCTCTACTTTTTCTCTCTGAGGAAAAGATCTTTTTTTTTCATTTTGAAAATAGCCTTAGATGAAAATGGTTATACATGTGGCATATAAGGGTTCATTATATTACCTTTCTCTTCTGTGGTCTTTCCCCTGCTATTTTTATTATTTTGTTGCTGTTCTCCATTCAGTAGGTTTGAAGGAATTCTAATCATTGTGATTATGATTCTTTGAAGGCTCACTTAGCACACTGTTTGGATGAAGGAAAGAAGATGAGGTCCTCTAAGAAGAGTAAAAGATGCACTTTAGATGGGCATTCAGAAGGATTTGCTGGTGCCATGCCTTTACCATGTAGTCAGGAAAAACGTGTTGCAAAAACACCCATCAGTGACTTCTTCACAAAAAAGCCGCAATCAGACAGGTAGAGAACAGAAATATAAATTCCCATTTATATATTCATGACTATAGGTATGAAATTGACAGTTTTCTGCTGGGAATTAGAAACTCCTGAATTCTTGGTCATAGCACTAATGACTTGTAATAGACTGTCTCCTTGGCAAATGTAAATTTAGTRAAATGAACTGCTGCCTGTTGAAGTGCAGGCTAACAGACTAATATTTGAAATAGCAGGCATATTGTATGGCTTTCCTTTTAAAAGAAATTGTCTTGCTAATAGTAACCTAGATGTACACCCAGTCTGACAATATTTTTGAGGCTATATTTCTGAGTAAATGATTTGCATGGTGGTGTGAAAGATTATGTAATGAACAAGAATGAAAGCTAGTACATCTTTCCTTTTTACCCTAAGCCAGCTGCTGAATAATGATACATGGATTCTCATTGACCCCAAGGAGAAACACAATGCCCAAGCTGCTGGGAAAAGCACTGGGTAGATAAAGGCTATTTCCACATTTCTTGTTGGTTCTCTTTAAAAAGAGTTCATAGAGCTTTTTACCTTTTAGAGATATTGCATATGTCTTTATAATTTACAGGTACTAAATCTAGCATGTATTGCTTTAATGCCATCATAGCAAATTTGAAGTCGGGATGTACCAGGCTTCAATTTGTTGCAGAAGGAGCAACGTTGATTCTTTGAATTATATTCTTTAAAGCTAGAATTATATGTTCACTTTAATGTTACATTTTGCCAMTTAAAATGAATTATGCCATTATGTTAGTCCCTCTTCTTGCCCATTTAGTACAAAATCATAACTTCATTCTCTTTCTTTTTCAGGCAACTTACACCTTTTTCAATGGCATGGCGAAATGTAGATGAAAGTTCAGCTGAGAAAGTCAGAGGCCTACCTGATGTAGTTGGTAAAACTAGTTTCCCTTAATGYCATCCATTTGAATTTACATTCATAGGAGACATGGGACATGTAATGGTTTTAGCTGAGCAAGGTATGGAATTGTGCTGGTTGGAAAGTAAACCAGCAGGAGGAAWTAACCCCACACAAACACCTTGCAAGAGATTTCAAATCAGAATTACAAWTAAATAGAAAGATTACAATAAATGCACTGATATAGAAAAACTGGCTTAAAATCACAAAAGTCAGAGTACAACCTGGCACTCTGTTGGTCAGGGTGATGATGCGGTCCGATTAAGCAGTGATTGCAATCCTGTGGAAGTGATGGTTGCAGTCTTGTCGAAAGTGGTGATCTTGTGGAAGTTCAAGTCTTTCTCTGGATGTCCAGTGTTGGTGGTGTCCCAAATCTCCAARCTGCCCGGATTATATGTGGTGGGGTTCAGGTGGTACATCCCCCAGGGCAGGGAGTTTTGCAATGGAATGATGTAATCCCATGAGTCATAGAATATTTTTYGAGTCTGTGATAGTCGTACCAGCTGCCTGTTCTGCTGGTGCATATTCTGTTTATTTTGGCCCATTAGCAGGGATGAGCCRCTTAGGATGTGTGGTGCTGCTCTTTCCCTGGCTTTGTAAAGTTATCCTGGTAAAGATAAAGAAACACTGCTCCAGCTTGCAGGGTTTGCCTCTTCTCATTTTAACACCCAGCTTGTATCCAGGGGGATTGGGTGTGCACTGCAAAGAACCCATCATTAACAGTTCATCAGAAAATGACATAGAGGGGAGTAGGATCTACACCCACATTGGTTACACCCAAGTGTGCACTCTTTCTCGTGGAACCACGAGAAAAATCAAGATCAGAAATATTTTTGATGATTTATATGTAATTTTGAAGATGAAGAGTCTTCTAATAGAAAAAAAATGGTCCTAAAAAAAACAGTCAGTCAATCACAGGTTATGTTTGGATGATTAATTCCAGTTCTGGTGTAAGCAGACCTCCTTCCTGAAATGATGCAATTTTTTTACGTCATACTTGAACTTAGTTGATAGTTTCATGCTATTATCCTTCTGAAAATCAGAAGTTATTAAGGAAATGTTAAATTACACTCTAGTATTTTTAACCTTCATTTGCTAAGATTTCATTTCCCATGGAAAGTTGCATGTTGTAAGAACTGCACAAACTACAGCAGTCATAGTGTAGATTTAGGAATTTATTGTTCATGTGTCCCATGTACAGCAGCAACACTTCCAGGCTTTAGTATTCTCWTTTCTTTCCTGGCAGTTCCTGAGGAAACAAGCAGTGATACATTGAGGTACCTGGCAGAACAGCGGCAACAGCGTCACGATCGAGCAGTGTTCGAAATGCAGCAGGAGCTGGACTGTATTGGCAGGGTAATGCGGGATTTTTTAATCCAGAGTGTCTAGCGTGCCCTTCTATGGTCAGGGCCAAATATTCAAATGATCACGCTTACCATTTYAGGAGATGGAAGCCTCTGTTTTGAAGCTTCAAGAATTCCTTCAGCTAAAAGTGATGAAATCAGATGAAAAGAGTGAACTTCTCTTTGAAAAAATTGCATCTGAYATGGCTTTGGAAGGTTTCTCATTTGAAGTAAGGCAGCTCAGAGCATTGGCTCACCTTCAGTTTCACCTGTGTAACATCTTATGGCTCTCTGGAGTTCTAAGTTGTTCTTTCTTTCCTTTTTAATTTTTTTTTTTAATATTCACTTTTCAGTGRGATTGAGAGTAGATTTTTATTGCAGGGTTTGGAAAAACTGTGGAGTATGATCCAMCAGGAATCCTCAAACAGAAAGAAGTGGGTTAGGGCAGTGGATGAATCCCTGAAGGAGATYGAAAGGAGTCGAGCTGTTAAAGTGAGCTGCAGTCTTAAAAACTGATACTTAAACAGAAGATTATTATTTGCTGATAATGCTGGATGCAGAGCAAAGAGTAGCTTGTTTCTRCAGGAGTCAGAGGTCAGATGTGTARTCTTCTGCCTAACCTTTAAAACTCATTGGACATCACAGTAAACATTTGGATAAAAAAATGGGTAGATCATTGCTGCATTATACTTGTAGGCAAACGAAAGTTGTTTGCTCTTCCTGTGYCAAATTCACCTCTCTTTGTAATGTGGGTATGATCAGTAGGTCCAAGAGTATCACCAGTAACCTTTTGGTTGGATTAGTAATGAGAAATGCCAGAGATGGCCACATTGGCTTAAATATTGTGTTCACTTAAAACAAGCACTGGTGGATTTCTTTGAGATATTTGAAAGAAAGTTGGTGTGATTTTTAAATTCATATTGCAGYCTGTCTGCAGAGCATTCAATTATATTAAAGAGAAACCAGTTGAGTAGTAACAAAGTGCAATGTTTTAGTTGCTGTTTGTATGAATTATTTTTAAAAGATCAGTCTTTAAGAAAATTAAGATTAATATTTTAAAATTTACTTCTCAATCTGTATATCAGCGCATTAAATTCATTTTAATGGAAAAAATTGTCTTGTTCATGTAATTTTTTAACTTGGAAAACTGACATTTGAGTTATACTTTTTGTTGTTGCTTTTCTTGATTTTTTTATTGCACAGATAGCAGATGTACTGACCAAATATACTGTGAAACTGGAGGAAATTTCCTTCTTCTTGGCAGWGGATGTTCACAAGCTCATTAACGATAAGGCCATGGTAAATGTTTTAGCTGCAGCAAGATAGCAGAATATTCCCAGAACATATTTTTTTCCAACTGAAATTCATTTTCTCTACCTATCAATCACTGAAATATAGAAGRTATTTCTACTTTGTAGGGCATTTTTTATCTTTTTTTTGTGTTCTTTTTATCCTCATTTTGCATGGAAGATGCTTTTTTTTTTTGCATGTTGTATGCTGCTTCTACTTCTGGTTTTATTTTTTAATGCACAGGATATAAACAGAGCACTGTTGGGTAATGAAAGGGCAACTGCCAAGCTGCTCTTTAATCTAATGAAATCAGAGCTTGAGAAGGAAAAAATACATCAACTGAAGTGGCAAGAGAGAGTCAAGGATTGGAAGCTCATACAAAAAAACTGTGTCATTCAGAGTTTCAGGTCAGAAATTTTGCAATCTTATTTTGAAAATTGAATAACACAAAATGACTAGTGTTCACTTGTGGTTTCTGCAAACAGTAATACTTTCTCGTTTTTTCCTTATACGTATGATATCACATATATCATGTTTCCTTTATACATATTATTTTTCCATCCTGCAGAGAATTTATGGCAAGTGAAGAAATACAGAATCCCCCAGCTGTGAAAATGGAAATGGAAGATATGATAAAGAAGCAGATTGTACTTAGTGAACAGAGATTGAGGGTTTTGGAGCACATTGGGTATGGCAAAAGAGGGTATAGCATTAAGGAAAACAATTCTTTCTGGAGTTAATTGTCTACAATATGCACTTTGCTTCTTGTCACTATGTGATTGTTAAATTCAGCTGTAAGATGGGGTTTAAACCTATTTTTATGTAGCTCTTTTCAATGGAAAAATGCACTCTTGGTTTTCGATTCACCAGCTGCACTAAAGAGGTGGTGATCGAGGGATGAAAATGTAGGARTGTGAAAGTAAATCTTACTGACATTGAAACGTGGTAGAAATGGGCAGACAAAGATGGATGGAGAACTAGAAGTTCGTGCTTTTTTCAAGGTATTGTTTCTCCATGGGATTTAATTTGTGTGAAAAATTAAGAGGACTCTGGATGGAAATCTAACACTGATATGTTTGAATATCCATTGTGAMAACAAGAAGCATTTTTGGGTGCAATGCATTACAATTTTTACAGGGACTTTTTTAACAATGGCTGTAGAAACAAGATAGATAACAGTTAGTTCCTTGTCAGGCAGTAAATTGTTGGCCTTGAACAACAACAGTCTCTTTGGTTTATTTTTGTTGCTGAAATGGCTGTAAATAAAATGAAGCACAGTGGTATGGATACTCTGATTCATAATTTTATATTTTTAGTACTGACTCMTTTGTATTTTAAGATACCTGATTCTTGTTTCCTCCTTTGATAGCACCTTGTTTCCTCCAACACAAACAAAATCTGAGATAAGTGAATGGTACCAAACTCTGGAGGATTTAAACAAAAGTATAGGTAAGTTGGAAAATCATGAAAACRGTCTACAATTCAAGCAATACTTTCTTTTTTTTCCAGACAACAGTGAGGCAGACATTTGCTTTGAGAGTGTATGTTTGCTTTATTCTTTGTTCCATTTTTTCACATACCTTCTCAGTTGTTTTGAGCTTGCAGTTGGACCCAAAGAAGCTGTCTGTGGCATCACTTCCCTTTGGCCAGAACAAACACTTGTGTATGGTGAGATCTATCAGGARCTGGATTGGTTATAATTAATCTGGGAGAAGGTTAATTTTGACATGGATCAGTTCTCAGTCATACAAAAATAATTCTTTTCTCCTCTTGGAGAAGAAGTGGGGAAGTATTGGAGATGCTTCCTTTCTCCAAGACCTGTAGTGTGCCTTCCGTCTGTGTCTCTGCGTTGTCTTGCTCCATAGCACATCCTGCTGTGATGTTTGTAGCCTGTAGARTAGCAAAGAAGTTGGTAAATTCTTCAATTTGTAAATAATTGTAAATAACTTGCTACTTTTAAGCATAATGATAAACAGATTTGTATTAAAACATCTTATTTGATTGGTTTGCAGTGTCTCACAGGTGGCAGACACTGCTGGAATCTGTTCACTATGCTGAGATTCAGCACAGGGCCTCTGTCATGTTTTGATTTCACACTGCACTGTGAAATATGGGAATCTTTACCATGGTCTGTTCCATCTCGTTCAGACGCCCATAATGTGGAGTGTGTGGAGAAAATGCGCATCCAGTATGAGCTGGTCCAGGGCAAATGTGAGGAAAAAGCGCAGGTTTGCAAGGTGAGTGTCACAGCTTTGGGAATTTTTGGAAGCGTTGTTGGTAGCCATGGTATAATATGTCATTACAGTAAAATGTGTTTGAGGATCCACCAAACATTGAGATAACAAGTGAAATTATTTTTTACCCTCTGTCTTATTCTGTTAAACCATGCATTTGGTTTCAGAAGAAAAGAAACACTACGTTTAACCATGCTCTCTGAAAGCCATGCAATATTTGTTATATRCATGTCAATAATTTGCCATTCTTTTCATTTAGATGAGCCTGTTGGATATGAACATTTGCACAGCAGAAGATGTTGAAAYAGTGCATTCTGACATGCTTCAGATGACTGAGAATCTAAAACATAGGTTTGAAGAGGAACTGGAGAACATGGATGTACGTTTATTAAATTTATTTTTATTACTCCCTGGGATTAGTCTGTTCTTCCTGCGTTCCCATCTGCAATGCCTTCTGCATCATGAGGTATTGATGCTACATTAGAAAGAGGTCCATAGCGTGACTAAACACTACAAAGAAACAAAGTTTGGTTTGATTGACACCTAATAGTTTGTTATCATTGTGTTTATTATTTGTAATATAAATACATATATTTTTACTATGATTTGTATCTGAAATATATATGATACAGATGAATGACATGTGGCCCAGTCTGCCTAAATGCAGAGGAATAGATTTAAATGATCTCCCRAATTTCTTCCAATCTGATCTTTTCTGATTCTGTACACAATAATGACTGGGCAGTTGTTCCTAAAGKGTTAGATTGTGGAATGTGATTCTGTGCTTTATGGTGGCAGAATAAACAGAAGTTTTGATTCTCTCAACTTGTAGAATAAGAGTCTACCACATTGTTACTCAGTTTACTTGGACCTTTTTTTCACTCTCCAGGTAGAAGACACTGTTGAATACCTGTCGTGTAATTCTAGGCAACCTTTTATCATGTTCCATATCCACTTATTCATTTCACCCTTCAGCGATTTAAAAATAGTTTGTTCACTTGAATGTTTTTCTTTAGAGTGATTTTAAGGAGATGGCTAAATGGCAYGAGCAGCATTGTCAAGACTTGTACAGCTATTTTCAGGAGGCCATGGAGCTCTGGGATTTCCATCAACTCCAACTGTCCCATCAGGAAGRTGTACTTCAGAAGAAAGTAGATGAATACAGATGGGAACAGGATAACATAATACAGGTATAAACATAAAAACAAGAATGTGGAATGATGTAAAGAAAGGACTTCTTAATGCAAAGAATCTTCTGGAATTCAGAATACCTGCTGTAAATTAAAAATGTCATCTCTGACTTTTTTATTGGAATTTCTACTTTTCATTTTTATTCAGTGAAGTGCATTTTTGCTAACTGCTTGATTCATGCTGAATGGACAGTCCTRTCTTGATATGACAACAGTGATAAAGATCACTGTTGCTWTCTGTATAAAGTGTCTGSAAGTTGCTATKATTAGATSTTKTGCTGGTATAGAGTCTGGTTGGATRTCAAGTTCTCATAGTTACAACAAGCAGCTTGGGGTGGCAATGTCAGAGATGTTCGTTATCTAGGAAGATCTTCATAGGTCATGAAGAGGTAGCTTCCCTCCTTGGGAAGGTAGCTTCCCTCCTTGGTGTAGAATATATGTACATAATTTAATTACTTGAATGCTATATGGTTATGGAGATTTTACTATATACTAAACCATTTTTACTAGCTTTTTGTRTGCCTTAGATGATGAAAGACGATCTGGATATAATTTTGAAAAAAATTAAAACGGCAAGCTCTGAAGAAGATTTAAACGTGTATTTGGAGAACGCCCTTTCTTCTTTAGATGAAATTAGAAATAGGTATGAATTGTATAGTAAACTTTAAAAGTAAAGTATATTCTAACATTGCTTGTGCTGCTTAGGCCTTGTTTGTGCTGTCCTGTGAAGGTRTGGAAAAGGACTGCTTTTGACTTCWTGTAARAATGTAAAATAATGTACATATTGTTGAACAGGGTTACTGCAAAAAATACCCACAGTTTAGGAATATGACAAAGGAAGACTGGTATAGTTCAAAAACTCTACCACATCAGTATTACTTTGCATGCCATTACATCCTTCTTATTTAGAAGGTAAAAGTMGTAGTTCAGATTCTTGAATCATAGGAATCAGAAGTTGGTCAGCACTATCACCTCTGTGCTCACAGACTTSATCTTGTTCAAAGTTGCAAGGACTAATATCTTTTAAGATAGCCAAAGTATTTATTTTGGTAAGCTCTCTATTACCTTTCTCATGATTASGCATCTGCAGCTTTAAAAACCATATAAAAATTGATACAATACCACTCTCATTGCTAAAGATCTTAGCAGCAGATGTGAAGCCTCAGAGGAAGCAGCTCTGTTCTCACACCCAGGAGGTYTTTTCTGTCTGTTAGATCAGAGGCCCATTAGAAGAGCAATATGAACCTGAGGGGCAGATGCACACACCTCATAGTGAGATTGTGGTTAGAGCTGTGGGTTACAGTCAAACAATTAAAAAAAAAAGACAGAAGTAACAGACCAAGTGAAAATACAATGCCAGGTTGCAGAGATGGAATGTAAYCTATCCGAACATTTGTACACATACATAAATTCCCCGTAATTATCTTTGTTTAGGAGACAAAGCAAATGTAAATGAAAACAAGTGTGYACATTGATTTTTCTTGAATCATGACTCAGCTTGAACCACTACTTTTTATTTTCAAGTAAAATGAAAGTAAACCAGGAAGGCTCAATTACAGCTGAGCATGGTGCAGAATTAACATAGAAGACATTAATTTGATCTCTCTTGTGTAAGTGGAGTGTTTGAGTAGYTCTCCATCCAAAAGGAAGGATGTGAAAGGTTTTATTATGCATATTTCTTTTGTGTATTTATATATTTGTAACGAACTAATCTCTAACAAGCCAATATGTGATTCAATATAAACAGATCAACAGCAAAGTTTAACCTAAAGATTTTATAAGATTGATCAGAAAATTAGATTTAGATTTAAAGGCACTGTAGTTACACTTTATTTTCTTTCTGTATATACTCAAGTCTCTTAAACAGACCTTAAATTTGACAGGAATGAGGCACTCAATCAAGTTGTAATGGATGAAGTAATGGGTTACCCAGAAGCTATTTGGCAGGAATTGATTTCTTATAGCATATCTATCAGCCAGCATTTTAATGTGAAGGAAGTCTTCAAACCGGTAAAAAGAAAATTTGTTCTCTTTTAAACCTTTCTGGTGTACTAATATTTCACTTTAGAGAAAAAAATCTAGATTATATAAACAACATTGAAGTATTGTTTCAGCCATTGAATAAAGTGCTTTCAGCAGAAGTAACGGGGGAAATCAAAACATTTCTCAGTCCCACACTTTTAACTCTGTCCTTGCTACAAATGGCATTTTAGCAAATCCATTTGCCTTTTGAACAGAAAACTGCAAGGTAACAGAATTATATTAATCAATTTGGGTGTTACAGTTTTTTTTAGATGGTAAATTATCTATTCAAAACTATCATATCTTACTGAAATAAGATGCACTTTGAGAAGGGACATGGATTTCTTATTCTTTCTTATAAGAAAGCAAATCCGTATTTTAAAATGGTGTGGTTGGTGTTTTTTGTTGTTGTTTTGCTTTTAGAACTTGGAAAGTAAGATAGACTTCACAGTTCAAGATCAAAGTGATACGTCAACAGTCCAAAMAGGTATTTTTGCTTGGTTGTTTTTCTTTGGATTGTAACCAGTAGAACTCTGCTTTAACTGTAAATAACAAGTTGAGGCTTCTGAAGCTGAACATCAGGTGGAGCAGCAAGCTGCGGGCGTTGTGTGAGGAAGGAGAGGAAAATYGTACAATATCCTGAGTTGGAAAGMACCCATAGGGATCATGAAAAWATCCAGCTCTTGGCCCTRCACAGAGCTGCCCAACAATCCYATYCTGTGCCTSAGAGCATTATCCAAACCTTCCTTGAGTTCTAGCAGCCTTGGGACTGTGACCATTCCCTGGGGAGCTTGTTCAGTGGCTGACCATCCTCTGAGAGAAAAACCTTTTCCTAATATCCAGTCTAATCCTCCCTCAGCACAGCTGCAGCCATTCCTTAGGTCCTGTCCCTAGTAACAGAGAGCAGAGATCAAAGCTGCCCCTCTGCTGCCCTTGAGAGGAGCTGTCAGTGAGGTGTGACCTCAGTCTCCTCTGCTRCAGCTGAACAGACCAAGTGCCCTCAGCCACTCTTTGTATGGTTTCCCCTGCAGACYCTTCACCATCTCTAYGTCCCTYGTTTGGGCATTCTCTARTAGCTTTACAYCTTTCTGAAATTGTGGCATCCAAAATTGCCCCCAGGGCTCGAAGTGGAGTCATCCCAGCCCAGAGCAGAGCAGGACAATGACTTCTATCAACCAGTGCCAGAAGATAGGGAGAGTTGTCAAACATCAGCTGGAGAAACAAATTCAACTGAGAATCAGATGATCTTGGCACAGGAAATTGAAGAAACAGAGGAAGAGGAAAATGAGGACAGTATTCCTCATAAAAGTGAAGAAACTGAGCATGCAGAGCAGGGAATAAGCATTACGCAGGTAAGTGAACAAGAGGGTAAGTTTGAAAGTGAGGGCAGTCTTGTTCAAAATAAGGAGGAAAAGGAAGTTTTTTCACTGAGAATGAATAGAAAGTCCTTCTTTGCTTAGTGTGTGTACAAAGCACACAGGGCTCTAGATCCTTTTATGGGAAAATGGAGTGTATGAAACAGCTCACAAACATTCCTTTTGATCTACTTTTACCCTTGTAGTTTTTTGGTTGGTTTTTTTTACCCTTTACATAGGTTTTTTTTTTTTTTTTTTTTTTTTTTTTTTTTTTTTTTTTTTTTTTTTTTTCTTTCATCATGGTGTTGTCAGCCCATGGTGAACNTTTTTTTTTTTTTTTTTTTTTTTTTTTTAATTTGTCTTTCATCATGGTGTTGTCAGCCCATGGTGAACGATTTAAGCTGTATTTGTACCTTAATACTAGTTCACCATTTTCCATTAATTTATTACTATAACAAAAACCTTTTAAAACAGTATAACTCCACCTGTGTCATGCTGGCATATGTAGATATTGCCAGCACTGTGTAAATGTTGTCCAAGTTGAGAATGAGAATATTATTCGAAATATTTTTAGGATTCTTAGTCTAGCTTGTGCACTGTTGATTCTATGCTGATACCTTTAAAGGTARTGCGATGATTTCCATTGTGATGTTTCCCAGTCAGTGTCCAAGAGCAGCAAGGCAGAAAGTGCTGAAATTTCCATGGAGTTTTTTTCCACTGCTAGTGGAAACAAATACACTGTTCTTGGAGTTGAAGAGACAGGCAAGACTGACATCACAGAGAGTTATTTTACAAAATATGAAAAGGAAGAATCACTTCCTATGTACTTGAAATATGTACTTCTCACAGAGGCCATGTTCGTCMAGCTGAAGAAAAGGTGAGTAGGAAACAATTTCTGTTCTTTATGTAATAAACAAATTYCAACTGTTGAGAAGAAACATTAGGCTAAAGAAGCAAAAGTTATCTAATTACTATGRTATAATTCGATATTTATATAGTTGGATATTTAATTATAAAATTATGATTGTATAATTATTATTTTATTCCAATTTTTTMATTGATACAAATCTGAGAAAATGTTTATGCTGCTTTGCATCTATGGCTGTCAAAGTACCACAAAAACATTTACCTTTACAGAACATTCATATTTTTCAGAAAATTATTTAGTGAGAAAACATTACAGAAAGATAAGTACTTTGCCCAAATTTCCTGCAGAGCCATGAAAGTTAAATGCCTGGTACTCAGTAGTATACAGCTAGCTCAAGAACTCTACCAGTATTGTGCAAGTGGTACTGAAACCATACCTTCCTATTGCCAGAAGTTAAATTCTTAGAAATAATATATTTAATAAATTTTTATTTATTATTTACTATTCCTCACTGTAATATTTCTTTTTCAATCATAGTATTCGCCTCTGCTTTTTTGAACACTTGGAGAAATGGTTTGCAGAATCCTTGTCCAACTCCTATGTCTTTGTAACTKCTAAGAAAGAGGAGTTGAATTCAATACTTCTGCTGCATCTTCAGTTGTATCAACAAAAACAGGAAGAGATCCATACAAATATCTRCAATGTTCGAGCTGGTATTGATTTTTTTATGTATTCTGAGTGTCATATGTCTTCGCTTAGGAGTGGTCCTAAGAGGCCAAAATCTGTTTCAGCTTTAGTTGACTCAGTAGTAGAGGACAGTAGGAAGCAGTTGACTGTCTATGAATTCTCAGTATACTATGTTACTCATATTTTTTAAATGAYRTTWCTTTTTTRCAGCTCTTCSTRGTTTGTGSTGTRTTATGTTTGGAAAAATAGACAGCARTGCCTTGRTTAACARCTGGATTGTAGAAGATGTTGAACATTSTATTGTCAATGTTTGTGAATTCTCATGCGCCTTGAAATTATTCAACAAGAGTTTGTAGTGTGCAAAAAATATTTTAAAACTGTTGCAAAGAAAGAAATTAGCGAGTTAAGAGAGCCAAAATGTCAGGGCCAGGCTTCTGAAAACATGAGAGAAGGATTTAACTCTGTGAAATATCACTGAGCAGCCAYAGGGAATCCTCTAATAAAAACTCTTTTTGCCTGGAAGTATCAGAATTTTTATGGTGAGAAAAAAATATTTTAGACGGGTTTGTTGATCTTTAACACATAARCTAAAAAAATCATCTTTGTGAGAACAGGCAAATAATTTTTCAATTTCCCTTTTTCCACAAAGAGGGCAGGTGCTTCTTCTGGCAGCTTTCTTGAGGTGATTGGCTGGCTCTTGACTTATCCAACTATCATTCCAGAAGGGAGATCAAAACTTTTTTTTTTTTTTCTTTTCCTCACAAAACCAGGAAAAGTGTATTTTCCATTAAAAAATAAAATGGTTACTTTTGTTACAAGACTGAGAACAGAGRTAATGGAGATGTAAGCAATGACCAAAAGAAAAAAGAGTGCTTAGAGAAAACAAGAGACATTTGTGGTTTGAATGGATTATTAGATGTTAAGGATATATGTCYAACACAGGAGAAAAGTCAAAGAAACCAAATTTAGTGTATTTAATTTGTATGTTTTAGCTACTATGGCTTTGTTTATTTTGCTGGTGCTGCTGATCATAGGTTGACTAGGCATTGTGGTAGTTCACAGTAAACAGGGAATTATGTCCCTATTGTAAAMTTCTTTTCTTCTTAGCGGAACTGTCACTTCACAAAGAGCGTCTTGAGTTCCACTGTGCAGTGCTGGGAGAAGGCCTGGATAAGGAGCAAGCTGAATTTCTCAAATTTGTGGACCAGCTAAATAACCTCAACACAAATTTTCATTCCCGAGTCCGTAACATGGAGTATGACTTCCTCCATGGTCTTAAGACTGAGCAGTAAGTGTTGCTGTGAAGCTCCATAGTCAAATACTCTTGATTACTGCCTGATGTTTAYGGTGTGCATTCTGAATCTGCTYTRTATATCATTGCTCTTCAATGAAGACTACTTCATAAAACTTGAAAAAGTGAAGCATTTCATTCTCTCTCCCTGCAGAAATTAAAATAGGGACTGAACAAAGGAAATTTTCATCTCGTTTCAAAATGCTGGCAGTCTTTAAGTAGAAAAGATATTTCATGTGTTTAGATTTTATCCAGTTACTGAACACGCACAGTAATATCAGTTGACTAATTGGTTTTGAAGTGCTCAGTAGTATCAGCTGTTGATGATACCTTCCATGCACTCATCCAAACCATCCCAGCTCAGGGAGTTGCTTTGAGAGTCATAAATCACKTTTAAGTCCTCACATTTTTTCATGTCTTTACAGCCAGCAGTTGCCAAATCTTCATGTGCATTTCTCTTCAGACATATTTTCCCTGTCTTTTATTATTTGCTGTTAGGTCAACTTCTTCTACCAGTGATCTGCAATCAGAGCTCCACAATCATTTGGAATCAATCAGGGTTRCTGTGAGGAGTTATCAGCACCACTTAGAGGAAGCTTTAGGAAAATTAAGGGATTTGAATGTGGATTTTCTCAGAAACTGCAGGTATATAGATTTTATTGAAGTGTTGTTTATAAATGGTGACCTATTTCTAGGAATCAGTGTTTGTTGCGTAGTCAGAACAGTAAAAATAAAGTTTATTTTTTATTCATCTAGTTTCCTATTTTAAAAAATAAAGTTACCTTGTTAAACCACAATTATTCTGTTTTCTTCACATTTGTGTTGATTTATATGTTTCAGGGCTGTTTAACTAAAATAGTCTTGGAGAAAAAGATAACTCGCAGCCAGTTGCTTTTATGTTTGCTTTCAGATTATTTTCAGAGTTAGGTGACTTTTCTTCTGAGGAGGTAAAGTTTTTCAACAAGTGTCTTCAGAAGGAAAGTAAGGAAATTGACTCCTTTGAAAGTTTAATCAAGACAGATGTGGAGAAAATACAATCGAGCTGCTTGGAGCAGGTATGCCGAGTTCCATTATTTCAAATTATGTTTTCTATGGACATATTTGATGTGATTTGCCTGCTTTCAGGTTAGAATTKTAAGACTGTTCTGTTTAGCAATTACATGATGGAAACAAATTAATAGAAATGACAAGTTCTATCATTTAGGTTTTAAAACATGAAAAATTACCTAGTCTTGTCTCTTGTTTCTGGCATTCTTAAAGGCTACTGAACTTATCAAGCAGTCTGAAAAAAAGTTTGCTTCTCTCTCTGTGGGTGGAGACTTTATGAAGAAGGTCCATCAATCTTTGAGACAGCTGCAACAACAAATCAAATCAGAGGTACAAACAGAAACATCAGAACTTTGCTTGAATTCATTATAATAATTTCTCTTTTATGCCATTGAGGAGATTTTGGCTGAATTCAGAGTCAACAAATGTTAAATTACTTTTTAATTTAAAACCTGTTTTCTGTCACTATCAGCTTAAAACTTAAAATACTGCTGCAGCTGTGCTGTAACACTATTGCCTTGCAGCACAATGAGTAAATACATCTGAGTTCAGCATTTTTGTGTGGTGCAGTGAAGGACATGAAGCACTGCTTTTGCAAATTACTCTTTTCAGCTTCTTTGAGTACCCGGGATTTTTAACCATTTTTTTCAGTGTTTATAATGGTTTGAAAGTGGAGCCTGTGAAACCCTTGTGAATGGGGATTTCTGCAATATTTGCTTCTGTTTTAGGTAGCAAATTCCAATTTGCAGTCAGTCACAATAAAGTCTTACCTAGAGAAGCTCCAGCAGAAGAGAGATGCTTTTGCTGATTCTACTGCAGATAAAGAAGTAAGTTCTAATCAGCAGGAAGTGATATTTAATTTGACTTGTTATTAATTGTTATTGTTATTAATTTTGTTTATTAGACACAAGGAAATAGCAGAGTAATGAATTTATGGTATATTACATATTACACAGAAATAAACTACTAGTAGACTAAGTATAGTAGTTTAAAAACGTAGTTTAAAATTAAGTTTAAAAYGCAGCACTTAATAAAGGTGTTTATGAGTTTAGTTAGTAAAGAAAYAGTATAACARTATTTTATGTATATTTTATTAATTTAATTGGTGGTAGGAKTATACATTGAAGTTCTTTCACTTACTTCTCCAGAAATTAACTCAAAGTCTGCATTCAGACTTTGAGGAGAGGTTCTCACATGCTTTTAGTGTGTATTTGAGAAGTTTTTGTTTTTTAGAAATTTTATTTAATTTCAGTATCTTAAGTTGTATTTTTTTTTAATACGTTGTTATATGATTGATAGCGATAAGTACTTGTTTTAGTTGATGTAACACAAATATATTTAAAAGGAAATAAAGAATTGTTATGGTATTGAATTTTAAAATATTTATGGTAATTTGGGGATAATTCTATAAGACGTATTAGTCTATGTAGGATAGRTTATTTTTTACTTTTTGATTTTTAGGATTATCAGAGGGTGAGGTGTAAATCAGGAACAAAGAGTTCATGGAGGTAGTTTCTTGGTTGTAGTAATTGGCAGAGTTTCATAAATGGTTTGTGGTTCTTTCACTTCTATGTGTGTTTTTCAGTTTAGTTATTTTTTTCCGTGGAGTTTAGGGTTTTATATGTTTTTGTTTAATATATTAAGTATTATATAATTTTATAATAATTTAAATAAATGTAAGTATTATATATTAGTTTCATTGTTTTAGGGGAATTAAAACTTGTAATGAAAAAAAGTTTCTGGAAAAAGTTTATAGAAAAGTTTATAGAAAATTTTCAGTCATAGGCCTCATAAGCACCTTGTCACTTTGACATAAACCATAGGTATCATGTAGCAGCAGTAGAGGTATTTTTAGTTGACTGCATAGGGATAACACATTTCCCTCTTTTCATAATATTCATTCCTCCTGTCCAARGTGTGATTTTGCTGACTGTTAAATCAGGAGGGTTTGGTTCACAATGTACAGTCTAGAATATATTTTCTGCAGTTAAACAAATTTTTAGATAGTCTGTTTTTTTTGTATTTTGAAGATTTGTTAATATTAGGGAGTTTTAGGGAAATGTTTTGATTTTTTTTATCACTTTGGACTCTTTTGAAGATTTTAGTTTTTATTACGGATTTCAATTTAAGTTCTGGAATTTTTTCCTTCTCAGGAGATGGGGTTTCTGTGTTYTTGTTACAATTTAATTCAACATTTGAATCACTAATTTTATCAGAGTTTTTTTTTAATATCATTTTTATCTTCAGGTAGTGTTATCAACTTCAGAGTTTTTCTAGCATCTGCAGAATTGGGGTACTTTGATGGTGTTAATTCTTTTTTTTTAAGAGTATTGTTGTTTTTTTGGATTCTTTTAGTTTTTGTTTTAATTTCTGTATTTTATTCATTAATTTGTCATTCTCTTGAATTATCTGGTTTATTTATTCTCAAGCAGACTGTAAAAGTAGGATTAGAATGTGACAGATAATTCTTCTTTCTTTTGTATCTTTCAGTGATCTTTATCTTTCATTTATTTTCTTTCTTATTTTTCTCACTTGACACAAGTTATCTGTGGGTCGGGGATCATTGTTCTTAATAGGAATATTGTGCCACCGTTAATAATTTGTCAAATCCTTACTTGGAGTTTTCAAATCATTGGCCATTACCCTGCTCGCTGCRCCAAAATGTTACAAATGGCCATGGGAGCTTAGATAGATTTGTGCTTTTTGCCCAGGCCTTTGGCAATCAGCAGTGAGCTTACCAAGGCAGCCAGCACCCCAGGGCCCAGTCTCGTTCACTAGTTCTTTTAATAAGTCAATTAGGTCAAATATAAAATGAATTATTGTTTATTGGACACAAGAAAATAACAGAGTAAGGGATGTGTGGCAAATTATATACTACACAGAAATAAAATAAAATAAACTACTAGTGGACTAAGTACAGTAGTTTAAAAATGCAGTTTAAAATGAAGCTTAAAATGCAGCATGCAATAAAGGTACCTGTGAGTTCAGCTAGCAAAGAAATAGTACAACTTAGGATTCTGTGTATATCTTGCTAATCTAATCGGTGGTGGAGCATATATCCCAGTCCTTTCACTGAATACCCAGAGAAGTAACTCAAAGCCTGCATCCAGACCTTGAGGAGAGGCCCTCACATGCTTCCAGTGTGTATTGTGAGAGACCTTTTAGAAATTTTGTGTATATTTTATAGAGCAAAACGGAGACTTTTGGTCACTTTTATAATATTTTTCATCTCTCTCCATAACTACCCTCCATGTCAAGTTGTTGATTCTTGGTCGGGTGTTCAGACTTTCAGGTTTCAGTGATAACTCCCTGCTGGAGTCCAGGGACTCCAGTCCAGCCTGGGTTATCTCTTGCACATGCCATCTGTATTTGAGAGAGGGAAGGGCGGGGGGTACATCCTGCCATATTCACTTATTATTCACCATTATTCCTGTATTTTACTTTACTTTCAATTATTAAACTGTCCTTGTCTCAACAYACAAGTTTTCCTTTGATTCTCCTCCCCATTCCACTAGGGAAGGGAGGGAGAGAATGAGGGTTGAGTTGTGTGGTGCTTAATTCCCAGCTGGGTTTAAACAGTCCTTATGGACATTCAATCACTGTTTTCCTGTTTTCCAAACCAAAACTTCAGCCTCTTATACAATCTCATTGCTTCCATGTATGTCTACATAAACTGGTGACAGAACAGAGGCAAATAATGTTGTTTGCAAGAGTCAGCATCTTTGAAAAGGTTAGAGTAGTTGGTTTAGTAAATATCATCTGTATTATCATATCTTTCAGGTTTTAACTTCTGAAGAGTTGTGTGATTTTGCCAAAGAGGTGTTGAAAGAGCTGAAAAAGCGGAGCCAGTATCTTGACTGCTTCTTAGTAAAAGCAATGATCCCACATGATAGTGTATGATAACATTCACATTCTCTATATTTTATTTAATATTGAGATGATTTTCATGTGTACTTGTTTTAATGGCTTTTCCGAATTTGTGCTTTGAATTTTCAAATGAAAAAAAGAATCTGCTTTATGCTGAGATGTCCMAGACATTGTAATATTAGGACAGACTTTTTAAGAGGCTGAGCAAATCACCAAGTTTACAAAATGCTAAAATACACGGCTTTGTAATGAGTTGCTCAGTTCTTTACARGAGTTTGTTTTCAAGGTTTAGCACTACTCAGAGACACATATTTCATGGGTTTCTTTAAATAATTAAAATAATCCCAAATGTGTCCTAAAGGGACTTTGTTTTTATGAAATGGGTTGTGTTTTCTTTCCTCTCTTTTCTGGAAAGTCTGTCTTTATTTTGTCATCTCAGTGGATCATCATTTTAAGAGTATAWCCTTAAATATTGTTAATGATGATTATGAGAACCTACTCTTAATGGCTTTGAAGTGCTTGAGAGTTGTATAGCTGTAACAACACTGCTATTAGAATGAGAAAGAATTATTTCAGCCTGTGGAAGCAAGATAGCATGTGTTTAGAAAATCTGCTTTAGTTGTCAATTGTTACATGSAATGCTTTCACTTATTGCCTGCTACAGACTACAGGGTTTCATTTTTCTTTGCATTTCAGGAAGACTTTACCAGTCTTGACACAGATGGTACATTACAAGAGCACTCCACCACTCTTGACAGAGGTGGTACATTACAAGAGGACTCCACCACTCTTGACACGGATCACACATTACAAGATTTCATTGCTCCTGCTGTTCAAAGAGAGAGTCTCAGAGATGAGTGCAAAAGGATGGTGATGGGACTGGATCCTGACAAATTCCCTCTGTTAAATCCCAGTGGAATGGATACATCAATACTTGATGATTTGGCAATAAGTTTTATCAAAAATTTAGCTGAGTAAGTACTTGTTTGCCTAAAGGTATTTTTCTATCCTTGTCTTTGTTTATATTTTCTTTGCTACATATACACTTCTCTCCATGAGACTTATAATAACATTGTAAGGGGCTTCATTACAGTATTTTAAAATTTGTATTCCAGTTGCATATAAAGGTTCTCCTGAATTTATAGTCTGTAGTTTACCTTGGATGCCCAGAACTATTGAATAGGCTGTTCATAAATAATACTACTACATACTTTCTGATCAGTCTAACTTAGAAACCATTCTAGCTGAGACTGTTTTCTTTTTTAAAGTAASATTTCTTATCGCCAGAAGTACCCCTTTGTGACTAATAAGTGATATCTAGTACATACCTAAAATTTATAATTGTGCTATTTAATTTTTGTCTTCTAGAGCCTTACTTTAGTTGAAAGGTGACCTGCTACATAGTTGACTGAATATGCAAAGTGCAAAATTAAGAGTATGACAAATGTTTCATTTGCAAATAGTATTTTAATGCAGTTTTGCTTATAGAAATTCCAAAACTCCAGTTAAATGATCAGTTAGTCTCAATAAATTACTTCTATATACTCTGTCAGTTGTAAAAGTAACCCTATCTGTTAAATATGATCTTGGAAATTKAACTCACTTAACACATGATACAGATAGAGAACTTGCCTAGTTTGCTATATAATATKGTATAGAACATAAAGTAACAGGATATACAGTAGTTACTTGGCKCTTTTTTTTTGTTGCAGATTTGGCCCATCAAAAAAATCTTCAGACCTATATCCGGGGACAAATGATTACTCATATTCATTGCGATCAGGTGTGCCTGTATTTCTTTTTCTTTTCACCTAAATTGCAGTTCCTGGGATTTTACTGCATGTCTARCATGCTCCAGGGCAGTGGCTTCTATGCTAGGAACTCTGAAATAGTTTTACATCCCAACTCTTTACCTGGATATCTTTCCTTACATTAAGATGACTTTGGGCTCCTAAAGCAATGAAAGCCACAGAATGAGACAATAATGTTATAAAGAGTAACTGTGTATGTAATAGCAAAAGGGAAAAGGGGTCAAGAAAAGAAGTGGAGCAGAAATCATTAAAAAAATACAGGGCATCAAGGATATCCTTCTCACAGTGTATTATCATCCACTCAAAGATGAGCACAGAGGTAACCCAAGAGGCTCCCTACCTAGTGTTCCCATTTCCTTATCTCTCTTCTGCAGATCTTGACTCCTCCAGCCGTTTCCAAAGCTATCCTCAATCTCTTGGGGACATTTGCAAGTCCTCATGACAGCCAATACTATGAATGTAGCCCATTCATTCTCCTTATTCACCTTCCTCCATGCTGCTTTAAATTTCCTGACATCTGCTATGTATTTTCTGTGACATTCCTGTGACTCGTACCCCAGTGCATAAACCTTTATTGCTGTTGCCACTTCTGAGTTACTTCAGGTCTGTCTGACAAAAATTATTGTTCCTGTAGTTGTCCCCTACATATTTAAGGAAACATAGGAATAAGAATACAAAATATATATACTCATAAAGAGCACTTCAGCTGGCATTTATGAAATATTCTTCTTGTTATTAACTATAAAGCAGCTCCTCCCCCAGTAAAGAAGCAGGCATCGGATGCACAATTTCAGAAGTCTGCTACTGGCAAGAAGTCATATGGGGATGAAATGAAGCAAAAAAAAAGGTGAGACTCCTAAAAGGAGGAATTCCACTTAAAATATTCCTATGCAGGAATTTACCTAAACTTTGTTCATTGAAAGATTCTTACTGCTTATTTGTATTAGCYTTCTTTCCATTTGCTGCTTATCACTTGGAATCTCTTACCTGTTTTTGTCCATATGATCAGTTTTGTGGGTTTTTTCCCCAGATTTTGATTGGAAAAATATTCTCTTTCTCTGTCATCTGCTACTGTATTTTGAAGCTGTTGAAATATAGGCTAATCCTTAAATCAATGTGGCTTAATTTTCAGGTGTGGTATCTAAACAGTTTAGCTTGTCCTGGTTGGGCATAACAGATCAGTGAAATAAGCTACTGTAACAGTGAAAACAACAGAAATGTTTTGAACAACTGGGAGTTTAGAAAAGAATTTGAGAATTTTTTTCATCAAAATATTATTTTTATATTGTGATGGTTTAGCAATGGTATTCCCCAGTTTTGTGCTCCTACTGAAACACTCCACACTATGAGCACCATTGCTCACTCCCCCTTGCTTGCAGCAACTGGAGAGGAAAATTGGAGGCACAAAARGTGAAGATAAGGTTGAGATAAGAACAATTTACTAGAARCAGCAATGAGATAAGAAAATCAGCAGTTACAGCAGCACTGTTAATAGCAAAGTGTACAAGACTGGCAAGCAATTCACATATGAATGCTCACCATGAGGGAACCCTTGCCAGAACCTGACAGACACCACATTCCCCAACGCAGCAGGGACCCTTTCACCCACCCCCCCTGCAATGATGAGACRTGGTATAGAATAATCTCCAGGTCCTGGCCATACCCCCTCCTGGYTACTGCAGAAATGAACCCTGTCCTGGCCAGAACCAGGACACCTATAATATTAGTTCTAGAGTTACATTTTTTCAGAATTTTCTTGTTTCATGTCTATCATATGACTGACTAGCTCAAATCATCAGCCAGAGAAGGAAAACACTTGTGRATAGTTTCAAATTAGTTTTTCCTTTCTAGTGAAAAGAAACGCATCGAATCTGTTTCCAGGGATGAGATATTTCAGATATTTGGAAAGAAGCCTGCAAAGACTGAGTAAGCTGTATATTTCCAGAACAAGAAGTTAATCTATAAAAACTATCTACCTATCTACCTATCTATCTATCTATCTATCTATCTATCTATCTATCTATCTATCTATCTATCTATCTATCTATCTGTCTGTCTGTCTGTCTGTCTATCTGTCTGTCTATCTATCTGTCTGTCTATCTATCTATCTATCTATCTATCTATCTATCTATCTATCTATCTATCTATCTATCTATCTATCTGTCTATCTGTCTGTCTGTCTGTCTGTCTGTCTGTCTATCTATCTATCTACCTATCATTGTGACCTATAGAGTTTACCATGGAATTTTGAGTATTTAGCCATGATAATTATTGGTCAAAGCGCTTCCAGAACAGTTTCTTTTTGCAGTGTAATAGTAGTGAAGGTAAAAGTGATCTGGTTCATTCTGTTAAATGCCTGAAATGCAGAGTCTTATTGGAGCCCATTTTGTACATTTACTAAAAGTGAGTGGGGAATGTAAAATAGACTGTCTTTCAATTATTTTCATATCTAAGAAGATTAATACGTTCTAGATCTTCATTTTTGTGCTCAGTATTCCATTAAGAGGGTTAAACAAGGATCAAACAGATGATTTTCGCTAAGAAAATTATCATAATGTTTCTTGATACATGCAGCTATACTCTTGTACAACTGAGATATTTTGTACATGCCATACAAAACTATTCAAATTAATTCCTAAGATGTTTAAGCGCTTGGGAATTTTATTCCATATTGTATTTCACAGTAAACAGCTAGACCCACCTTCAAATATTTTTTCTTTATCTAAAATACATGGTAAGTTCTTTGGGGACAGGAATTTGGCTAAGATTGCCTTTTCTTGACAGTGATGTGGCAGTGCTGTCCAGTAAGCAATTACAATAGCTCAGATTCCTGGCTGCATCTAAAGAGAATCTGTGCTAATGTGGGGGAAGGTTCTTAGGCATTTTGAATATTGATTTGTATATGGTCTAAAATTAGCCTGAACAAAATACTTGAAAAACAATGAATATTGCCAATGTGACCATTTAACAGTGTGATAATTCTTTTAAATTTCTTTTTAAATTGTTTTGGTTTCCAGTACTTTTAAGGAGATTATTATGAATATTCTCTGGACGGGTAACAACACCTTGCTCTGCCTTGGTGAGGTAAGAAAATGTCATGTTCTTCAGTCACTTCTGCTTTCTTAGGTGTACTCCTGTGTCAGAGAAATAATTTGGTTCTTTCAATGTTTGGCAGACCATCCAAAATATTTTCTTTCGTCTCCTACTGTTAGATACCTAGATGTGACATGTTTAAATACATTATCAACATTTTTTGTGCTTTATCTTTCCCTTCTACAGGAGTTCTATGGAGATAAGAAGAATCTTCAGATGGGGATACCTGAAGATCTACCAGAGACATTTGAACTTTGGGCAGAAATGCTCAAACAGAAACTATTGGCATACCAAAGGCAGACAGATGATTACTACAATTTCTGTCTTAGAGGTAAATTCATTCAGTTAAGACTTTTATTTTCTTGTGTATGTTAGCTGAAAATTGCAGTGACCAAGAATTATGTTGTTGTAATCCATGAYACTCAGTGGAAAAACTCCAGCTGACTTTACTGGAAATTGAGCCAATATTCTTTTTTATGTATTATCAGCTATAAAAAGTGTGGCAGAAGGACACTTTACTAAGTTAAAAGATCTATACRAAGTCACATTTTTGAGCAAGTGTATGTTTCTCAAAGCATTGCACCTGGACAAAATAATGTCAGGGACAGAATCTGTGAGAGAGATAATTCCAAGCTGTTTGTGTCATATACACAACCTCTCTTTTCCAAAAAGAATWTCGGGATCAGCTGAAGTGGTTTGAGGAGGAGCTCTCTTCTGTTTCCCAATTGGCCGTGGAAAGTCTTTTAAAAGAACATGAGCAGAAACTGAGCTCTTTAACTGGTGATATTCAGCATCTCTTCAACAGACAGCTGAAAGAGTGGGAGTATACTAAGGTATGTATCATGGATATATTGGAATGCTTTTAGTGTAACCAATGCTAAATTCATCTGATGGATAGAATTTTACTTTTCTTGTTCTCATGGTTTGCTTCATCACTCTCTGCTGAGCTGGCCAGAGATGTAGTTTCTCTGTTTGCAGTTAGTCTGGTTAGTTCTTCTGGAAGCTTTGTATTTCATGGAGCACAGTCACTTCTCTCCAAGTTTTCAGCACTGGGMTACCTCTTTCTAATCTTCTCAGCTCTGCCTGTCACCTTACACTTGGATTGTCAACTCTGTAAGGGCTGTGACCTTGTGATATGGCCATACAGCTCCTACTGCATGAGTGCACTCCTTTGTAAGAACTATGATGTAGGGATAATGAAATGCTATTATTTATTATMATTCATAAAAGAGTCATATTTTATCAAGTAATAACAGAACTGAGAATAGAATCATAACAGAGATCATGCAGAAAATGCTAACAGTATCTTGAGATTTTGTCTGAGTATTAAGTTAAATTCAGGTAAAAATTACAAATACAGAGATGTTAAAACTGTCTTATTTACCATGCAGTAGGAGAGATGATTATTTGTTAAAAACAAATCCTGAAGTGAGACCAGAGGCTGGAAGAGAGGCAATTTGTTGCATATTGCACTGCAAAGTTTATATGCAGCAAGAAGTAGCTCCATTTTCCTTGTCTTTCTGAATATCTTTATAGAAAATGTTTGTGATTTTCTTCTCCCTTCCTATGACTCGCAGTACTTTCTTTACTGAAGGCATTTCTTTTTTACGTATTTGCTTGAAGACTGTGCACCGGAGAAAATTACATTACTCCCTAGGACACCCAGATAATTCCCTTCAGCTGGAGGCTTTGTGCCAAGAGGAAATAAAAAGGCAAAAAGACCAAATGGATGGTGTTCACCTCAACACAAAGATGCTGCAGGTAATTGTAMAGCCCTTGCTTAATGTGAACTTAAATGTTGCATTTGGAAGGGAGGGTGTATTTTGGATACATTTTCCTTCCCATCCAGAGGAAACTTGAAATTGTTTTTGGTTTAGGCTGTCCTGTTCATATATTGCTAACCTTTTAAGTTAATAATTGATCTATTGTCAGCATTAGATCAATATAGACATAAATATATCTGCTCACATACAGGTGTTAGATACATTGTGAATGTTACTGGTATTTTATATCATTCATAGAATATATTGACTATAAGSTTAATGGTAGGTAGGAGTATTGGCGGTGGTGGTGTCATCCTCTGGTTAATTCTCTTACTTGCCCACAACAGATGCCCGGAAGATTTTTCTCCTCTGTGCGTTTCATTAGTGCAAATAATTGAYACTTTTCTACAGAAGATTAAGAACTGAAATAAGCTGAATTTGCTGGAGAGATATAGGAATCAAAACACATTTTCCCCTCCACCCCCTGGGTTTATTGAAGGTTGATTCCCCAGCTTTAAAGCTCTTTKTTAACTTATCTCAGGCCACTTACACCAAATTCTATATTGTTTGCAGAGTACGTTTTTTTAATTCCAAAGTAGTGTCTCCTTCTACTCTTAGCTCTGCATACAAAGAAACACAAATATCCTGTTTCAGAATACACCTGGGCTAAGCACTTCTACCCAAAGAACCTGCATTCCAAAATTGTCTTCTCCTTGGCTAGAAGGATGCATTTACAGAAGCTGGTTTTATGAAGTTTAACCCAAATATGTGACTATTRGGTACCTTTGCACAAAACTCTACAGTTGTTTAACTTCAGATAATCAGGCTGTGTTAAGAATACTGCAGAGACACTGAGACCCTTTTATGTGCAACTTTGAGCCTTATGTCTGTTACCTGCAGTTGCTGCAGAATGTCAGGGTTGGATTTTTATATAGTCTTTTGGAGCCAAGTTAATTAAAAGKATAGGAAATCAAATTATCAAAGGAATTCCTTTCACTTGTCTCCAATGTCACAACAGGATTGTGCTGCTGAGTGTGCTCAGAGCTTTTTTTCTGCACTGGCTGCCCTGACTGAAAAGCTCCTCTTGGAACTAGATGAAACCATCACTGTTGATGACATACAAGGTCCAACAGGTAAGAAAAGAAGAGATTGCCTGTTCAGGCCTCCTATTCCTTCTGAAAGATTGCAGCAGACTATCCCTAGCAAGAGGAAGCTTTGATATGCTATAGTATTTTAAATTTAAATATTTGCATAATAAAGCRTGCAAAGCTATTTCTTGAGAGTGAAGAGCATCGAGCTGCACAGTTACTCTAAAACAGTTTTATTCCTGACATTGTTTTGTTTCTGATGAGCATATCTTCTATTACCTCCCAGAAACKGAAGTAGCTAGAGAGAAGATGTCAACTTTAATCCATCATAAACAAGCTGGACTTCCTCCAGGAACTTCTGAAGTTCAACAGTTAATCAAACGAGGAAGGAGGTAATATTTGGATATACTGAATGCTATTCTGTCTAATTTCTCTGCTCGAAACTGATAACAGGCCCTGTCCTCATAGTTTTTTGCTTCACTTGTTGAAACYGCTGAACACTCTGCTCATCATTAGTAATGTCATTGAACTAGTTATGGGGTAGTTGAAGTGGGTAGTGATATTAAAGAAAGAATAGCAGTGGATCCAAATAAAAATTAATTACACATAGTATTGTAGAACAATACCATGTCATTGCTATCACCATGTCRCTTGCCTGTCATTGGTGTCATGGTTTGACTGGTTAAATGCCTGGCACCCATAACAGCTGCTCACTCAGCTCTCCCCTATCACAGCTGGCCATAGGAGAGGAAAAAAACATTAAGTAACAAAGGGCTTATGAGTCAAGAGAAGGAACCAGGCAAAAACACTCCAAGAGCAAAATGGGCTCAACTTAAAGTCACAAAGTGAATTCATTACTAACAGAGGACTAACCYTTAAAGACACTCTTTCTTCCCCCAACCCCTCCCTCCTTCCCACCAACAGCACAGGGTAGACAGTTGTGGAGGTTTTGGTCAGCTCATTCCTGGCATCTTCTTCCACTGCTCAGAGAGAGAAGTTCTTCCCCTGCTGCATTGTGGGGTCYCTCCCATGGGAGACAGTTCTTCATGAATCTCCAGYGTGGGTCCATCTCACGAGCTGCAGCCCTCCCAAAACTGCTGCAACATGAGTCTCCTCCCACGGGCAGACAGTCCTCCCAAACTGCTGCAGTGTGGGTCCCTTGTCCATGGGGTGCAGTCCTCCAAGGACAGGCTGCTCCATCCTGGGAGCAGGGGCTCCTTCTCTTGAC